AGAATGAAATGACGAAAAACATAAAAAATAAAATAGAGCTTTGAAAAATATTACAAAATTAAAATCCACTTAATTTGAAAAGAAATTCTTAAGCAAGGAATGAGAAGCGGGCTGTACTGATTGAACACTGGCTTTTTATACAGGAATGTAATAAGGCTGATCGGGCCTCGCTCTTCAAGCCTGCTGTTGCAGCAGCTGTTGGGCTTTGATCAGGGCCTGATGGACATTGGTAGCAGACATAGCCATGGGCACAGAAAAATTATCATCAGATCTAGCCCCTCATAAACGGCTAGTCCCTTATAAACGGCTTTGTTATAAAATGTCCATTATCGATTTTGTACTCAGAAATGTCACAGTAGACGAGAATTAATAAAAATACAAATGAGGGCGAATTTGTAAACTGGTTTTATCTTACATGGAAAGAAAATCCATTTGATATGCATTGATCATTTTATGTGGTTTATCCAGTTCTCAAACCTCTACTCTTACATATCACCTTGACATAAAATACTGTTGGTTTTCTGCTACTTCTCTATCTGTGAAGGATACATGTACTCTCCTCACATATATCACAGTGATGTATCATAGTAACATAATTACCTCGTTAGGATGAGAAAGCCACAATAACTCGGTGCGCCTTGTGGCAGCAAGAGTTGTATACTCCCCAGGGAGTTGAGATGGATAATACGATGAGCCGTTGAGATTGACATCCAATGATCGAAGGGAAAAATAACAGCGCCTTGAGCATGCACTAGTGTGTGGATTGTGCGCTATATAAATATCCTATAATAATATAATAATAATAATAATAATAATAATAATATTTACATGTATATATTGAGGTTGCTACATGAGAGGATGTCATATATCATTTATCTTGCGAGCTATTTCAAAATGTATCTAATAAGCGGAAAAATTGTCGATACATTTTGGAATGAGTTGTAAGACACTGGCACATGATAGGTATGAGTGCAGTAATCTGTTTCTTACACAACCTAAAACTGAACCATTTTCGTATCGCATAAATGCACATTTAGTCTATTGTCATGATACAATTGATACTTTCATATAAAACACGTCATGAGTGATGTTATGAAGCCAACTGTGTGTAACCCAACACAGAAATGTTACAGCTATATTTATTTATTAGCATTTAGCATCAATTCACTATCTGCAACATTATAATAACTCACATTAAACCCTGGCACAATAATTACATAAACATTTCTACTTCCAGCTGTATGGCGTCCGCCTGAAAATAATCGAGTCTGGACCAGTGATCAATAGCATGAGCATCGATCTACACAATTGGAATACAATGACAAGTGTCAACCAAGTCAGCGAGCCTGACCATCCGATACCATTACTTCATTTTTTATTGTAGTTTACGTTTTGCCACTTCAGCATTGTACAAATATAGAAATTACATCCACTTCTGTGCCATCGTCTCTTCTTCATTTACTTAAACAACATGCTTATTTTCTGTCGCTTTCATACTTTTCTTGTTATCTGTACAAAGACCATTATCAACACTCTAAAATCACAATGTTTATGAATTCAACTGAAACACAAGAATCCTGTTTATGAGTTACATAGGTAACCAATCAAATATAATCTGACCAGTAGGTCATCTCTAGGTCAATCATGGATCTGGAATTTAATCATATGCGTGATACTAATTACCTCAAAGTACAATGTGTGAAGCCCATTTCTGGTGTCCCCTGCCGAGATGTTGCTGGAATATTGCTAAAAGCGGCGTAAAACCTAAGTCAGTCAGTCACTCAGTCACTCAGTTACCTCAAATGGGTGTCTCATCCACAGGTGAGTAAGGAACCATGTAAATCACTCAATGAGATTAAGAGAACAAATTACCCATAATGTCTTTGGGCAAGTGTGGCTGATTGGCTAGTTGAATACTTCATATAATAGCTATCACTGTTTTCAATGAGGCTCGTAGCAGTGTGACACGATACGAAGAAAGTCACAACTAATGGAAGATGACATCACCTATACCTATGACATCACAGAACATCAACATGACATCATTCCAGCAAAAGAGCAACTGAAATTATATCTCACATGATTTTATAATATATCCCATATTATGCCCATTTTTCCAGAACATAAATCCAAGGAATAACCCACTCATAACTCACCATGCTTGAAACTAAGAAAATCAATTCCAGAAGAACAACGTAATTCAAATTGTCTCTTAGCTCCTGGCTATTCTTTAAATCTTGACAAAACCATGTTCATCTCATTGTGGGAGAAAAACATTCGAGAAAATAATCATATTTAGTTTTTTTACTAAAGTAATCATATGTGCTTTTTATACAAGTGTTCAGAGCAGGCCATATCAGACATGTCTGTCCACCAGAGGGTAATGAAATAGTCTCATCAATATTCATATCATTGGAGAAATTTGGTCATGTGAAGTAAACATGAAAAAGATAAGTCATACAGACCCATTCCTCGCAAACACAGGTTTTGTTCAATGGATACGATTACCTCTTGCAGTTGAAGCACAACCACTAGAAACTCAAACTCTCAAGTTCATTTCCATGAAAAAATGTGAATTGCCACTTTTTCTGTAACATAAGGAAGTTATATAATGTGCTCTTGGGCAAAACTGGAGAGCAAATAGAATGATAAACAGATATACAAAAAACAAACTTTAACTGACAATGATTCTATTACATATTTGCTTCATCACAGAAATGTTACCTTTGATGAATGTCATCAACAAACACAGTGAAGTTCTAATGGTGATTGTGTGTTGCTTTTGATTTAACAATTTCACCATGGGCCCCTCAGCATGTTTATGGTACAGCAGTTACTTGTTATTACTTAAAAGAAATCAAAACATGTATAGATTATTCCATATTTTTTAAACAATTAAACAATTCAGGGCATCATAGCAATTCCTGAAATTGTTGTTGGTCGACATTTTTCTTGTTGCAATTTCTGAAATAGTGTTTTCACACAAAGGAACTTTTTACAGATATGAAAACCAACAAAAAAATTATCATTGGTCAGCTCATAGATATGCAAGCTTAACGCCGTAGATGTCTTCATATTCTAAAGCATTTTACCGTGTTTATATTTTAATGACCTTCCGATCCCATAATGCTGCCAGAAAACAAAAGTGTTGTTAATTAGCTCTGACTTTCAACATTTGGCTCTGACAGATTAAAAAGCCTGAGGGCCCAGTAACTCGTTACATACGCATTACCTAATTCATATTACCAACAGCTCTTTATTTTCTGGGTGGTGGGGTAGCCTAGTGGTTAAAGCGTTTGCTCGTCCCACCGAAGACACAGGTTCGATTCTCCACATGGGTAGAATGTGTGAAGCCCATTTCTGGTGTCCCCCGCCATGATACTGCTGGAATATTGCTAAATGTGGCATAAAACCATACTCACTCACTCTTTATTTTCTAAGAAAAAGACATGTTTGTTATTAACTTTCCAAACCAGAAAGCAAGACCTTCATCAAAATTGAATTAATATATACTCATGGAAACGAATAAGGGAACACATGACAGTACAAGCCTTGGTTCCTTTATTCTTTTCCATGTTTCTTATTTTCTAACTCAATCAGCATTATTCTCACTGTGCTTGAGAACTCACTTATCCATCAGACTCATGTTGATTGCACTGTGTAAGGTGTCCATCACAGCCTTGGTGACAGCATGGGGTCACATATTCAAGACACTTACGACCGCAAAATTTCTAGTACTTGAGTATCTGTTGCGAATGATCAATGAAGAACCGGATTAGAACTGATCTTCAGTAACCCATGCTTGTTGTAAGAGCCGATTAACAGGATCAGGTGGTCAGGCTTGCGGACTTGGTTGACACATGTCATCGTACAGAGGTACAGATAAGCTGCGTACAGAGGTTCAGATAAGTAAATTACGCAATTGTTTTGGGAAAACTCAATTCCTATTAAGTCTATTGCGTACAAGCACGCTTTGAATTTTTGTAAATACTCAATAAATGTGATCTTACATGCGTACACACAAAATGTCAAATCTTAGCTTGGGTACCGGTGGATAGATAAAATAACTGATGTATATTGAGAGGTTCTATTTCAGGACATGAACGTGACAACTTGCAGTCTTTCTTATCATTTTCATATTACAGATGAAACATAAATAACAAACACTAACATTTAAACTTTATTATATTTTAAAAATTAATGGAAAATGGCAAAATACCCAATTGAGTTTGAGTGAGGTGAGTACAATTTATTTGGTTACTCAAAGGAAAATTAGCATACCCAATTGAGATGAACACAAGCGAGTACATAACTCAATGACCCAAAAGTTATCTATCTGTAGCTCTGATCGTATCCCAATTGCTTAGATGATGCTCATGATGTAGATCACTGGATTGTCTGGTCCAGACTCGATTATTTACAGACCGCCGCCATATAGCTGGAATATTGCTGAGTGCGGCGTTAAACAACAAACAAACCAAACCATTGCAAGAGGCAACCTTATGGATCGGGCTCAGTGATTGGTTGAGGGTTTGTCCACATACCACGGAGGCAATGGTCATAACATTAATCACTGGCTTGCTTGGTCCTAACTTGATACTGTAGTGGATATCATCCTGTAGCTTGAATATTGCTGCGTTACACTTTTAACAACAAACAGATACTGATAAGACAAAATCTGTAATAAGAAATGGTAAAAATAGTAAATTATCCAGCAAACTACACTCAAAGGCAAAAGTTTGGGGGACACACAAAAAACAGAAAGAATCAATGTTAACCTTTTACTGCCACGACTGAGATGTTATGACATGGAAGGAAATATGTTTCAAGGTATGTCAACCATCAACAGTTCATAAGAAGAGTTCAGTGTGCAAGTGTGTCCTCCTTGTTCACTGATGCTGGCCTGACACCACAGCAGCTGTCATCCCAATCCAGAGCAGAACGCCCTCACCTCCAAAATGATCCGCTTCCAAACATGTGGTTTGTTGTCATGTCATCAGCTCGATGAGGAAGGAAACTGGAGAGGACTCTTCTCCCCTCATGTTGCCCATATCACAAGTGTGGTGTGCGCCGCTGGAGACACTGACATCAGCTCGGTGATGAAGGAAACTGGAGAGAAACTTGCTGGAGAGGACTCTTCTCCCCTCATGTTCCCCATATCACAAGTGGTGTGCGACACTGGAGACACTGACATCAGCTCATCTGGAGAGAAACTCACTGGAGAGGACTCTTCTCCCTTCATGATGAAGTGAAACTGGGAGAGACAAACTCGGTGATGAAGGAAAGAGAGAAACTCGCTGGAGAGGACTCTTCTCCCCTCATGTTCCCCATATCACAAGTGTGGTGTCTGCGACGCTGGAGACACTGACATCAGCTCGGTGATGAAGGAAACTGGAGAGAAACTTGCTGGAGAGGACTCTTCTCCCCTCATGTTGCCCATATCACAAGTGTGGTGTGCGCCGCTGGAGACACTGACATCAGCTCGGTGATGAAGGAAACTGGAGAGAAACTCGCTGGAGAGGACTCTTCTCCCCTCATGTTGCCCATATCACAAGTGTGGTGTGCGCCGCTGGAGACACTGACATCAGCTCGATGATGAAGGGTGATGAAGGAAACTGGAGAGAAACTCGCTGGAGAGGACTCTTCTCCCTCATGTTCCCCATATCACAAGTGTGGTGGTGCCACTGGAGACACTGACATCAGCTCGATGAGACACTGACATCACTGCTGGAGAGAAACTTGCTGGAGAGGACTCTTCTCCCCTCATGTTGCCCATATCACAAGTGTGGTGTGCGCCGCTGGAGACACTGACATCAGCTCGGTGATGAAGGAAACTGGAGAGAAACTCGCTGGAGAGGACTCTTCTCCCCTCATGTTGCCCATATCACAAGTGTGGTGTGCGCCGCTGGAGACACTGACATCAGCTTGGTGATGAAGGAAACTGGAGAGAAACTCGCTGGAGAGGACTCTTCTCCCCTCATGTTGCCCATATCACAAGTGTGGTGTGAGCCGCTGGAGACACTGACATCAATGTTGTAGTGTCAGAATTGGCCTTCGGGCTGAACATCTTGCATAAAAGCTGAAGATGTGTAGATATTTTCAAAATGTTATTGCAGATACACATCTGTTGCCAGGTAAGTACTGTAAGGGTTGCTGAGTCGAACCTGTATTGGAGGTTTGTGGTTTAATCCAGCCGTCTTGGCGTTGGGTCGTTAGTTGAGGGCAGCCACTTCAAAAACTTGTCTTGTATGGGAGTTCATTGCAAACATTGATTTGTAGAATGGAATCCTTGTCACATATTGCAACACCTAGAACAAGCTATGTAAGCACTAAACTGATACTCCCATACTTTAACAGACTTACGATAGTCATAACGCTAACATCACTTTGTGGAATTGGGCTTTGACCCTCATGGAAGTCAGATCGTCTAACATCTTGGATCTATTTGACCCAGAACAGTGTCATTATTAAAGAGCTCTTCATATAATAAAATATTGGGGTCCTAATTTCAGTGAGACCTCAACTTGGGTGTTGACAAGGCGAGCCTCATGTTACAGCCTAATGTGATGGTCCCTTAAGTTCGCGATGGGAACGTAGTACTATCTGCTGATCTCATATACCCCATTGATTCGACTGAATCAATATACTAGCGGTCAGTCAACCTTCAATTATCTACTCTCTACATCATGTTGGTTTAACCTTTCACATTCTTCAGTGTTATTCAATAACACATGTTCCAAAGCGCTGGTTTCTAAACACAGCTGAAATAATCGTCAACCTGCCATTGATTTCTAGATAAGTGGCCATTTGCCATTACTACAAATACTGCAGTGTGTGGCCACACATTTCTGTATCAGTAATCATTTCATCCACGCCATATCTACTCACATATTAAAAACTCCACGTCTTTCATGTATTGCTGTGTGGCAGTGTTATTCATTCTGCAACATTGTGCATGTGTTTAGAGTGAGTGTGTGAGTGAGTAAGCCGCTTTTAGCAATATTCCAGCAATATCATGGCTGGGACACCAGAAATGGGCTTCACACATTGTACCCATGTGGGGACTCGAACCCGGGTCTTCGGCGTGACGAGCGAACGCTTTAACCACTAGGATACCCCACCGCCCTGCATGTGTTTAGAGCATGCCCGGGTGGGGTGGGTGGGGTATGGATTTCACTGCTATATGAGTGACATTGTTCCAAGTGTTTAACATTGTGCAGTAGGGGAAGGGTGTGTGCTATATTTAGAATTGTGCTATACTTAGAGTTCTTGAAGCTACTACGTTTGTCTTTCTACTATATTCCGACCCAGGGAGTTGGAAATTGTCTGGAGTTTTTCTCTTTGATATATAGGAACAGTAGGGTAGCCTAGTGGTTAAAGCGTTCACTCGTCACACCGAAGACCTGGGTTTGACTCCCCACATGGGTACAATGTGTGAAACACATTTCTGGTGTCCCCCGATATAACATTGCTGGAATATTGCTAAAAGTGGCATAAAACCAAACTCACTCACTCCTTCTTTAGTACATAAGGGGGGCTGCCTCTTGCCTCTCATCTCACATTACATCTCAAGTTACAAGAAGACCAGCAATTGTGTGGAGATCATTCTGACCCTGGATACTCAGCCAGGGCTCGATTTAAGAGATGTTAGTTAACCTACTTGCACCAGGTGCAACCTAAGATAAAAACCTAGTTGCACCAGCCAAATTCCAGTTGCACAGCTTTTATTGCAATATGTAATGTAAGAAATATGGTATTGAATTATTTAGATGTTTTATTGAGAGTTTACCCAGTCAAAAATTTAGTTGCACCAGGTGCAAGCTCAGCTAATAGCTAGATTGCACTGTGTAATATTTGGGTTGCACCAGTGCAAGTAACAAAGTACTAAATCGAGCCCTGTCAGCCTATATCTATTTTTTAAACTTCACCATCATTGCAGTGATGTGAATATTACCATCAATGTGTATATTGTAATAATCACTGCTGCCACAGTAATATCATTGTCTTGATCTGTATTAATTTGTTAACTTAATTTAAGAATACAGTTGCTAATTATATCACATTGCTTTCTTGTTTGTAGGTTTCACACCAAGTTGTTTTACGGACCAATTCCTGGTCAAGTTATAAGTGCATTAGTTTCAGCGTGGGAATAGACACGTAACAGCATCCATGACAGCTTCTACCCCAATAATATACTGATGAATATAAATATAGGAACTGTGGCAGCAAATACAGCACAATACAATTTATCTTACCTCACACATAAATGCTGCTTTCTGATTGGCTGAGTGTGCTCTTCTATTGTTTTTAATGTACCCCGCTTACAAGCGAGTAACATTTCAATGTACCCCGCTGCCAATGGCAACTCATTTGGTACTTTGTGGTAGTAATTCTTTATCTTGAATGACATTGAATCACGTATGATGTACGGAAATTACCGATGTTTTGCGAATGCAAATCGGTGGAAGGGAGATAACTCTAAATCAGCATAATCTAGCGATGGCTACAAAAAGATTTGTACCCGTGCTTCAAACAATTCAAACTTAACATTAAGGTGTTCGGTAAGATAAATACGTTGTTCACTGGTCCCTGGGGGCCCCTCGTGACCAGTGAAGAACTTATAATACAGAACTGTGTACTTTAAACTGAAAACCTCTTACTGGCTGTAGTTCTGGTTATAAAATACATTTACATATTTTAAGTACTTTTGTTTGTATGTGATTGATACCTGTGAAGATCCGGTTTAGAATAGGTCTTCATCCATCCATGCTTGTCATAAAAGGCGACTGATCAGGTGGTCAGACTCGCTGACTTGGTTGACACATCAATTGCGTAAAATTATGCTCATGATGTCTATCACTGGATTGTCTGGTCCAGACTCGATTATTCACAGATTGCCATTATATAGCTGGAATATTGCTGAGCGTGGCATTAAACAACAAAAACCCAACCCAGACAATTGCAGAATCTAGGACATCAGAAATACAAAATAGCATACTTACAATAATATTCACCAAGATTCATTGAATTTTACAAGAAATGTTAACTTACAATGAACCAAATTCCAAAAATGTGAATAACACATAAATATCAAAGAAAATCCAGAGAAAACTGAAGCAAATGAGGTCAACAATTGCACATTGATCCAACCAAATGTCCTGATTTTTTGCCACAAACATGATCTGGAATTTGTCATTTGAATTTTCTGACCTTTTCAAAAAGTAAATAACAATAAAAAGAGGGAAACCTCTGCTCAAATGAAAGATACTAAAGAACAAGAACCTATCACATTGCAGGCGTACACATTCAATATTTCATCTGCTGAATTATCCCACATCAAATATTGATGGACTTCACATGGATCTTATTCCCGTGTGGCTTCTATGAAAACCATTTACTTTGACTGTATCTAATACAACACAGGAAGAATATAGCCAATGATTTATGAAGATAACACCCTTCTCCAGGGACTGCGGAACATCTTATTGTATATCCTGTATTCATGTGATCCACGAACAAATACAACATGTGTCTGTCAGTGTCCATTCCGTGACTGTTCCACCTGTGGATGTTAATGTCTAATCCTGGGCTGTAGTTCAGCTGATTGGCTAATAAACTCGGAACCTCAAGACAACTCCTAATCTGCCTGAAGGGATGTCAATAAAGTGTGACATTTGCTTGACATGCTCCTATTTCTTGGAGCTGACCCCAACACTCTGATGGACTTAACGATGCTGCTGGAGACAACTAGCCATTAGCCAAGCTTGCTTATTCCTGTATGTTATCACCAATGCATCGTATGTTATTTTATTACCCATGAGGTCAGCGTATGTGTAGTTGCATACTAATCTCGTACGTCACACGAGTGTCGTATCGCGTTGACCTGTGTTGTAACGACTTGACCTGAGATTCTAATGATTTGATTGGAAAACCGATGACCTCTCAATTAGGTCACATTCCGACGTAACTATTTTTTCATTCATAACAAACACGTGAATTCATTCATTCTACAACTTAAATGCATTGTGGGAATGTAAACATTGCGAACGTTGCCGTGTCGCTGTTTAATTGTGAGTGGAACTGAGACATTATATCCGTCGAAAGACATAAACGCAATGTTTCCACCAGTGATGTTAGCCGAATGAAGCAACTGGAAACCAAAGAAGCGAGGTGCTTTCTGGATTAGTTTACTGTAGGAGGCTGTACGAGGCAATGACAACTGACATGCATCATGGCGTCGGGTTACCAAGGC